CCAAAGGTTTTATCATGGAAGAAAAAGAACATATGGGATACCGCCTATAGAAATCTATTTATGGGTTAAAACAAGTCTCTAGACAGTATTATTTGAAGTTGATAAAACGATAAGAAAGTTTAGGTTTAAAAAAAATGAGAAGGACAATAGCGTTTATGCGAAGTTCAAGAATGGAAAATTCTTTTTCCACATCCTTTATATAGATGACATACTACTCACTAGTAGTAATGTTAATCTACCATTGGAGAAGAATAAGTCTTTGTCCTCAAGTTTCAATGTGAATGATCTTGGTAAAGCCTCATTGGTTCTAGTAATTAAAATTCACCGAGATAGATAAAAAGAGGTATTAGGACTATCGCAAAGGCATATTTAAAAAAGATTCTAAAGAAATAAAGTATGCATGCGAGTAAACCTACGCCTGCTCCTATAGTTAAGGGTAATAGATTTGGGAACTTTCAGTGTTACAGGAACCGATATGAGATCGATCAAATGAACATGGTTCTATATGCTTCAGCTGTTGAAAGCTTAATGAATGTACAAGTAAGAACTTATTCTGACGTAGCTTACGTATTCAGGATATTTTGGTAGAACTCTAGTCCAGATATAGATCAATGGAATAAAGTTAAGAATGTCTTGCAATTTTTACAAAGTATCATAGGCCTCATGCTGAGTAAGAAAGAACAAATACTCTCAAATAGTTATGAGTACAAATGTTAAGTTTTTGCGAGATGTGTAATAAAATCCACAGTAATTGCTAACACTCGCAGTTGGAGTATTATTGTGAAAAAGCTCTAATGAAACAGTTATGGTGTCATCAATGATGTATACCATAATATAGCTTGTCATGAGACCTCAGGAACAGGCAAAAGTGGTTAAGGGAATATGTACCCGAATTTAACAACGGTAGTACAATAATAACCATTTAAAATAGTTAACTCCTAAGACAACAGGTCATGTGTGTTGCCAAACACATTGACATTAAGTTATATGTTGTAAAGGAGAAAATTCAGAATCATTTTGAAAACATTGAGCATATAAGTATCAAGCAAGTACTTACGGATCCGCTTACCAAAGACTAACCACCCAGTGCGTTCAGAGAACACACAGTCAACATGGGTTTACGGAAAAACCTATGATTTCTGGATACTAAGGGCCTAGTTAAGAATCTGTTTCAAAACAGAGAGGTGCATTGTAGCTGTTTAATCTAATGACAACTGACCATGACAATGAAGTACGCTTTATGCACTGATCTGTGATGGAATGGGAAAAAGATAAAGTAAATTAAGTTTAACTCATAAGGTGAGATTAAGGGGGAGAATGTTAGATTAATCTCCATCAAATTGGCCCAACGGCTAAATGGGCCATTGATCCGCGCCTTGATCGAGAGCGCCCAGCCGTTCTCCTGGTTGATGGGCCCCCGTCGCGCAGCACTATAAAAAAAAGGTGGGGGCTAGGGCGTAAGACACAAGGTTCACTGCTGCCGCCAGTTCTCTACCGAGTCTAACCCTAGTCCGATCAAGAGGGAAGTGCTGTGAGCGACAGGAAGATCCATCGATGTCGTTACTGGACCGTGCCCCACTACGATGCTATTTCTACTCCGATATTAGTGGACATGTCGCGACGGTGCCATGACCGCCACTACATGCAGCGAGATATATCAGCAGGTCCCTTATCTAAGCCAAGAATTTACCGCTGATCACCACAGAGGTTGTATTTATTTATCACGATGCGCACGCACGCACGCCCAAGTAGGTGAGCGAGCTCGCCGCTTCCTCTTATCCTCTCAGGTTGGTTGGCTGGCTGGAGTGACCGAGCGAGTAAAACGGCGGCAGGGACAGGGATTACTGGATTAGCTAGGGGAGGAAACAGGAAAGTGACCTGCAAGCTTATCTCCGCCTAGCTTGTCACCGCCGCCGTAAAGGCTTGGCTCTCTCCCGCGGCTGCCGTCGTTTCCATCCTCATCACATCTGCATCCTGTGTGTGGTAAGAGACGTTTTGTTTTATTTTCTGGTGCCTGCGCTTCCTTTCTTTCTGTCAGATTAACATCTTGCTTATGACTGTCATCAAACCACAGCAGCAGCCGTCGCATCAAACAATCTGCACATAGATGATGATGATGATAGATAGATAGATAGGTAGATAGATAGATAGATAGATAGATCTGAATCTGATCCCTGACATGTCTAAATGGGCAAGAGAGATAGAGAGGCCAAGCTTGGGTTTCTGACAAAACACGAATCTAGATTTTTTCTTTTCTATAACCATAGTATATTATGTGTACAATTACGTGACCTGTGTGAGTCTGTTGCGCAGCAGGAAGGATGAGATCGACAGAACAGTCCTCCTGAATCCTGATGCACGATTTGTTGGCGAGCGAGGTTGAGGCTGACACTGACAGTGTTTGTTGTCACCACCATGCGCCCAATCACAGGGCAGGCCAGACGCGACGAGGTGGATTAGGTAGCGCGGCCTGGTGATTGTGGTGGTACGAAACCTGTTGCACTTTCCCTTTCTGTGTCGTCGTCTCCTTGCTATGTTATCCATCCTAGCGGGCGGTCGGGCGGGCCCAAGTGACTGCACATTGGTTGTTGGCTTGGCTGGTCGTCGTGGGCCCTGTTCGGCCACGTCTGGCCCCCCGGAGCCCGATGGTTCTTATCCTTGGGCCTCGTTTGGAAACTAATAACTCGGCACTTTGTCTGGGCGTGACCCAGCGCTAATTGTGGCACGGGTCAAATTTGATGTCCACGCGAGGGGCCAGCCCTGGCCTCGCTGTGCGAGCGAGCGCCGTGCAGCAGCGAGAAAACGGGATGGGGAAGAAACCAAAGAGCAACAGGGGTCAGGTAGCAAGGATTAATTAATCCAAAAAAATCCCATTCCGTCCTACCCGGAGCGTGCCTTCCCTGGCTTTATTACCGTTTTGCCTGGATTGGGTGGGCGCGCTCGGGCTGCCATATGATTGTTACATTGCATCATGCTCATGCATATCGCACCACCCCCGTTTTCGTCACGGCAGCAGCGGCGGGGGAACCTGATTGGCCAAATGTAGACAGCTGCTTCTTACCTTGTGTGGGGGTTGCTCTGTTTTCCACTTTTCCTCGCTTTGGGATTTGGGTTGGGTGACTATCCGGCTTGTGATGGCATAAGGGCACTCCTAACGTCTAACGTACAAACCATCATAGTTTCTATGGACATTAATTGTACTGTCACCTAAGCATTTTGCTGATGTGGCAAGGTAGTTATTAAAAAAGAGAGAGAAAAACATAGAAACCGGATCTAAGTTAGAAACCATATCTACACAAGAACCAAAACATGAATTAATGTGATTGGCAGAGAATTGAGAGAGAATGTATGTGATTAGATAAAAAATTGTTCTGTAGAAATTATCCATTAAGACAATAGTTTCTATACGTAGTGTCTATATAAATTAATAGGTATAGAAACTACATGTAGTTTTTAGCATTAGGACTGCCCTAAAACCTATCGTGGTATCACTTCGACTAATTTATTGAAAAAAACTACAACACTACTTCAACAATACTTTTCAGCGAGCGAATAGCGTTTTTCTCTCACATTTGCTGAAATTCAGCTTATGCTGATTTGTTGTGAGGGCGCTATGCTGATTTGTTATGAGAAAAAAATATTGTTCGTTTGCTAAATAATACTATTGAAGTAGTGCTGCAGAATATGGCATTATTTTGAAACGGATGGAACAACTCCTTTTGCTCCTTTATTGCACGGTAAGCTCATGTCATTTCTATTTTCATTTCTTATTACTAATCAATCTTTCCCAAGCTCCCGTTTTTCTATATTGGCCTCGCTCTAGGATTATACCCATCGGTCATCGCTCGGTGAGAGTGGCCTGGGTGGCAACGACACCGGCCAGGCCAGACCGACGTGGCGGCATGGCGGGGTCCAAGTTATCCGCTGGACCATGCTTTCTGTTTTATTTTCAAAAAAAAGGAAAAAAAAGTGGCTTTCCGGGCCAATCCCTTAGTACTAAAGGCATGTTTGGAACGAAGGAATCAAAAACACAGAAATAGAAAAAAACGCAGGAATAAGGTACGATGAAAAGTAAAAAACTACGGGATTTTAAAACACAGGAATAGAAAATTTAAGCGGTTTGGAACATAGGAATTTATAACATAGAAATTATAACATGTTAGCAAATATGGGTACTAATTACTATATCTAGGGCCTATTTGGAATAAAGGAATAAAAAACATAGGATTAGAAATAAGCTCGCATTGCATTTTGTCCTGGCTAATCACTCGTTCTCCAACTGTGTTAGCGACAGCGTGCCTCGGACTTCCGCGAAGCGGAGAAAACCAGCGCATGGAGCGGATATTTTCATTCCTGTGAAATTGTGAAGAGGCTACAGAACTCCATAGAAAAGGAAGGGGTGCTTTCCTGTGTTCCAAACAGCAATATTCGTTTCCTTTTCTTTGTTTTGGTTTCCTTCAAATTTTCTAGGGAAATCCCGTGATCCAAACGGCCCCTAATACGATATGCAGGCCCGCACCAAACCTCGATGGGCCAATCCTAAACTCCGGGCGCCAGGTGGCCAGGCCCGAACACCGCACGCGCATCTCTCTCGTCTCTCATGGAATCAGATGCTGGCTGCGCACTGCACGCGATCGATGGGGCTGTTGGATTGGACCCGCCAACTTCCATGGCCCAGTTTCAGGAAACACGAGGACTCCTCGATTGCAAATCTACCAACAATACTACACAACACAAGTCTCTTAACTGACTACCATTGTCAGGTTTCAGGAAATAATACTGACAGACCAACAGACCACTGCGACAACAGTCACACAAGCCACAAACGCACCGCCATGGTTGATGCACTACTATGCATCACATAGCATGAGTTTCATCCAAGCGGCTTCATCTGAAACTTTATAAATATCCCTGTATCCAAACAGCCGGGCATCCGTCTAAAAGAAGTGAATCACAAGACATGCTGTAGAACAAGAGGCGTGATCTAAACTTGTGCTGAATCAGTTCTCCTTTGGCACGCCCTTCTTTGCAGTCTCGGCAGCGGCCTTCTCTGCTTCAATCTCAGCGACATACTCATCGATCTCAGCCTCTTCGAGCTCACGAAGGCCATCCTTGTGTGTCATCACTGCAATCTCTATGTTCTTGCCGCCACTCTCAACAACCTAGAGATTTTATGGATGGTCAATCAGTGCCACCAAATACAGTTGAAGGTTTACCCTAACAATCGAGCAGAAAATAGGAGAACAACTAGAGGGGCAAATTCTTCATGACCCAAAGGCGAAAACTTTGGGTCAATTGAACAATTTCCAATATAGAAAGCAGAAACCAAGAACAAAAATTAGCTTACATAAAAATTCCTTTGACAACTTTCTTATGAATTATAAGGTGGGTGAAAACCATATTAGATGCGCCGTCAAATTTCACTAACCAGACAATAGGTGTAGAACAAATACAATATGCCAAAGCTATGAGCATGTATTCTGCAGTCTTCAGAACAATATAAGGAAATAAGGGGATGTTTGGATAAGGATATTATCATTGAAAAATTTAGTAATTAGTTCAGATTAACTAGATCTGAAACTTCCTAGTGAAATAACTCCAATCCAGACAGGTCCTATGGTGAAGCAAGTTCAGTAAATCTAATTTTATCCAACTTTATTTAGTTTCACCTATGTTGTTATATCCCACCTGATTATAAAGATTCCATGGAACTCGATCCAACTGTCGGTTAATCTGGGATCTATAGTTGATCATACCACTATTCATAAACAATCAACCATGACACATGAAACACTTGGCTGGCAGAGCACACACAAAGTCTGGATTTCAACACTCCACTGATACATTGGGTTCTAGTCCAGAACCGGCACATCATTTGGTTCAGTTAAGTGACAGGTGACAAATTATCACTTTTATAAGTAGTTGATCTTTCTCATCCTTTGCTAATTACTCTCAATTGACACTCTTCCAAGTACTATGTTTCTCTGAATAATGAATAATCACTCTTGTAGGATATTAAGGGCCTGTTTGGATCCACCAGTGCTAATTAAGTGCTGAGTATATACCTCAAGGAGTGCTCTGATGGCGAGCTTGATGGTCTCCTTGCCGGACGTCTCCTTGTAATTTTCTCGAGAACTCGCGCATGGAGTTGGAGTTGCGGCCGGTGGCGTTGGCCTTCCAAGCGGAGAAGGTCCCCGAGGGGTCGGTCTGGTACAGCGCGGGCTTCTCGGTGTAGGGGTCGAAGCCGACGATGAGCGTGGAGAGGCCGAAGGGGCGCACACCTCCGCTCTGCGTGTACTTCTGCTGCAGGCCGGCGATGTAGCGCGTGATGTACTCGACGGTGACGGGGTCCTCGACGGTGAGGCGGTGGCTCTGGCACTCGACGCGGGCGCGGTTGATGAGCACGCGCGCGTCGGCCTTGAGCCCCGCGCACGCCAGCGCGATGTGGGTGTCCAGGCTCGCGATCTTGCGCACGGACCTGCGGAGATTTGCGGGAAGGGGGGTTCGGGTGAGGCGGCGGCGGGGGATCAAGAGATCTGGTGGGAGGGAGAGAGGGGGGAGGTACCGACCTGGAGTCCTGGAGCTTGGGGGTGGACTTCTTCTCGACGCCGAGGACGACGGTGTCGACGCCGCGGACGCCGACGGCGGCGTTGCCCTTGCGGACGGCCTCGAGGGCGTACTCGACCTGGAAGAGGTGGCCGTCGGGGGAGAACACGGTGATCGCGCGGTCGTAGCGGGCCATCCTGGCCTCCTGATTTAGTCGCCGCCGGCGAGAGAGAGCGTCCGGCGAAGGGCTTTTCTGTCTGTGCTGGGAGTCGAATTGGGTGCGTCTATGACTTATGAAGTCAAGTCAGTTCAGGGAGGCTTGCGCTGCCTTGTTGCGGCCGGGTCGGTGGCTGCGGGTTCCTTCAATTTTCTTGGGGGAGAAGATGAATGCAAACGAGGTTCGTGTCGTCCCCGTAAAACTTCGGGCAAATATCGCGCTGGACTTGGCCTTTGTTTTTCTGTAAATAATACATATTATTAAACTCTATAGACTGCGTCGGGTTCTCGACAGGAAGAAGCGCCGTCCACGTCATCCTAATTGTTCCAGCCGTTCGATCTTCAAATGAACGGTCCAGATCGGTTGAATCGGATTCTCCGGAAGCAGCTTCTCTATACCTTTTCCGGCCCCTCCTCAGCTCCTCAGCGGCTTCTCTAGCTTCTCATAGTAATCCAGGTATCCAGTGGATAAGCATCTAGTGGTCCTGATGATAGTTTCTAAATTTATACAGGTTGATTGGTTTGCACTAGATATGTTGCCAATAAATATGGGAATGTATCAGGTGTAAACCAACTAATCTGTGCAAACTTAGAAACTACCAATTATGATCACTAGATGCTGATCCAATGGATGGGGTAAGAGCTAAATTTTTTTTGCACTTAAGCCCCCCACCAGCCGGTCTTTTTTTTGTGCTTAAGCCGCCTCACACCATCCATTAGATCAGCATCTAGTGGTCCTGACTGTTAGTTTTCAAGTTTGCACAGGTTGTTTGGTTTGCACCTGATATGTTGTCAACAAATATAGGAACGTATCAGGTGCAAACCAACCCACCTATATAAACTTGGAAACTACCAATTAGAACCACTAGATACTGATTCAATGGATGGGGTGAGAGGTGACATTTTTTGCACTTAAGCCCATCATCCGCCGGTCTTTTTTTGCGCTTAAGCCCCATCACCCTATCCATTGGATCATCATCTAGTGCTCCTTATTGATAGTTTTCAAGTTTGTACAGATTGGTAGGTTTGCACATGATATGTTGCCAACAAATATGGAAACATATCAGGTGCAAACCAACCAACCTATGCAAACTTAGAAATTATCAATTAGGACCACTAGATACTGATCCAATGGATGTGGTGAGAGATGGGATTTTTTTGCAGTTAAGCTCCCCACCCGCTGGTCTTTTTTGTGTTTAAGCCCTCTCACCCTATTCATTGGATCAACATCTAGTGATCCTGATTGGTAGTTTCCAAGTTTGCAAAGGTTGGTTGGTTTACACCTGATATGTTATCAACAAATATGGGAACGTATCAGGTGTAAACCAACCAACCTGTGCAAACTTGGAAACTACCAATTAGGACCACTAGATGCTGATCCAATGGATGGGGTGAGAGGTGGGATTTTTTTTATACTTAAGCCCCCCACCCGTCGATCTTTTTATTTGCGCTTAAAGCCCCCTCATCCCATCCATTGAATCAGCCTCTAGTGGTCCTGATTGGTAATTTCTAAGTTTACACAGGTTGGTTGGTTTGCACCTAATATGTTGTCAACAAATATGAGAAGGTATCAGGTGCAAACCAACCAACCTGTGCAAACTTGGAAACTACCAATTAGGACCACTAGATGTTGATCTAATAGATGGGGTGAGAGGTGAGATTTTTTTGCACTTAAGCCCCCCACCGTCAGTCTTTTTTGCGCTTAAGTCCCCTCACCCCATCCATTGGATCAGCATCTAGTGATTGTCGGTGCGGGACCTACGGGATACCCCGCAAGGAAGGGAGAAGATCTAGTCCAACTAGGATTCTTCTCATGTAATCGTAGTAGTAGTATTATTCTGTAATCCTACTAGAAACTTTCATTGTAAACCGACTAGTACTCTGGTCTACTGACTATATAAAGGAGGGCAGGGTTCATAGAGACTTGGAACACTTTACAATCAATCCAACGCAAAGGCTAACGCCAATTGGACGTAGGACTATTACTCGATCAACGATCGAGGGTCCAAACCAGGATAAATCGATTGTCTCTTGCGTTTATCGTCGAGTTCCGCATACGCTGAAGCCTGAACAAACTGCCCCGGGTACCCCCATGGCAGGCTATCGGTGGTGAAACATCGACAGCTGGCGCGCCAGGTAGAGGCTTTCGGCGAATTTACATCCGAGAGCTCGACGGACCTCATCAACATGATCTTCCCGATGGGATCAACTTTCATCTTCGGCTCATGGATCTACGAGGCGGACGACAATGGCAAGCTCCAAAGCCATCTCCTCGAAGATTCGGATCACTAGGAAGACCTTTATATTTTGGCGACTACGATAGAACAACTCGCCGGAAGATTCGCGCCGCTCGAGATGTCCGCTCCAACTCAGATTTCGTGGCTTTGCGCAACCGATTCAAACTCAGGCTCTACATCCGAGATAGAGTCTTATCCGAGTTCTTTCGAGAAACTGAGTTCTTTTCCAGTGGGACTTCAGAATGCGGCCTCGGCCTATCAAGAATACAACTCGGAGTACACTCAGAGTCTTTTCAAGAAGTCGGTTCCTTTCCCGTTTGGACTCCACAACATGGCAGCATCTTATCAGGCACGACCCAAAGGATCCCTCGATTCGGTGCTTAGAATGACACTGAGAGGAGCTCAGGAAGGTCTCGTACTAACTATAGCATCTCAAGACTGCATCGTCCACTGGCCAGGTTCTGTTCCTGAGGATAGTGGTACCCGACTAGTCGGCACCACGACAATGACAATTCTACCCTACCAAGAAGGGGACTCGATCTGTGACCTTGAAGCCTCTACTAAAGTTATCAACAACTCCGACAATGTGAAAACCGACGTCGATAGCAGAACAATTCACGCACGAGAAGTATTCATGGTTCGCCGTCCTCGATCGCCATTGGTCCCCCCAGAAGCACCCGACGTCAGGTTATCGGATGAATCTGAATCCAACATATCACCATTTTACCCAGGGGCACGATGGTGAGACCGAGAATCAGAAGCAAGCCAGAGAAAGAAAAAACAAATTGAAATAAGGACGCCAACACCATGCTAGGCAGCGCAAGGAAGCTTGGATCAGATATGAGTCAGATCTGGCTGAGTACAATAGAAGAAAATTAGAATGAGAAGTCGAAGAAAGACACGCGGCGAATACACCCTACGATAGGATCCGAGAAGCACTAGAAGAACTCAGAGCGACCTCACATCCCAGTGAAAAACAGGAACAGCTCCGGGACTTTCTTCGATCAACAGTCCTGAGGACGCATGATGGAAGGACCCGCTCAAGACTACCTGCCAGGTCAACATCTCATGAGTAGGAAGATCAAAATCAAAGAAAATCCGCTTTCAAGAGACTTAGACCAAGTGGAAGTCACAATAGAGAAAGTAGAAGGGATCGTAGTCAAAGCTACCGAGTCGAACAACCGGGAAAGATTAGAAGCAAAGTACCTATTCAGACAGCCACGCATAACTACTCTCATCAAAACAATAGCTGGCAAGAAGGGGGCGTTGAATCAGAATACACAGAAGCCGGAACACACGATAGATTTCCCTGTTTTGCAAACAGACTCGCTTCAATACGACTACCTCACAAGTTTACGCCGTCCAACCACTCTAAGTATGATGGCAAGACCGAACCAAGATAGTGGCTTAGGATTTACTCGCAATCGATTGAACTAGCCGGAGGAGACGACGATATCAAGACCTTGTTCTTTCCCATGGCCCTAGAAATCATGCCCCTCCAATGGTTCGACAAACTGAATCCAGGGTCAATCAGAAATTGGGAGGTCTTGCAAAGAGTTTTCTATGAAAATTTCACGGGTATCATTACGCACCCCATCACCCACGCAGAATTAAAAGGACTCAAGCAGAAAGGGCGCGAAAGTCTCAGAAATTACTATCGACGATTTGGCGAACTACGTGCTCAAGTACATGACATCACCGAACGAGAAGTAATCGAAACTTTCTCTCACGGAATCATGGCTAGGTGGCAATTTCAGAACTTTTGCAAAGAAAACCCGAGAAACAATGAAGAATTCAGACGCACAGTAGAAAAGATGATTACTGCAGAGGAGAAGACGCGAGAAAGGTTCCCGGATAGAAACAACCGAGACAACCCGGACAAGCAAAATCATCGAAACATCAGACATCAGGAAAGAAAACATGGACAAGACAACACAGTAGCAGTGGCTGACAAATCAAGGAAGTTTTCCAAACCCAGAAGATATGACGACATTGAAAACATGCATTGCATCTTGCACCCCAAAGGAAATCACACCATCGGAAATTGCTACACCTTCAATGATCGATACACAAGAAAAGATAGTATGGGGAACACTAAAGAAGACAATCAGAAAAAAGATGAAATCAACCACGAAGACAAGGGATTCCAAAAATCTAGGGGGACGGTAGCAGTGATGTTCGCCGGGGCCCCAGATTCCAGAAGCAAACATCAAAAAAAGCTAGCTCTACGAACCATCATGGCAGCAGAACCGACTACTCCAAGATATCTCAATTGGTCATAGTATCCAATCCAGTTTTCAAGAGAAGACCAATGGACTAGCGTAGGAAACGCATGCCATTACTCACTGGTTCTAGATCCAACTATTGCCGGTATGACTGTCACAAAAGTACTAATCGATGGGGGAGCCGGACTCAACATCATTTTTTCAGAAACTCTAAGGAAGATGGAACTACAACTCATCGAGATGATTACACCAACGAGCACCCCTTTTTATGGCATAGTACTCGGCAAGGCAGCAATGCCACTTAGACAAATCACTCTACCTGTTACTTTTAGAACCCCCTCGAACTACCGTACAGAGTTCATCAAGTTTGAAGTAACAGACTTCGATTCATCATATCACGCAATCCTCGGGCGCCCAGCACTAACAAAATTCATGACGATACCGCATTATCCGTACCTATTGCTTAAGATGCCAGGGCCTAACGATGTCCTTTCTCTTCGAAGTGATTTGAAGCACGC